CCCAGCCCTCACACCAGTACCCAGCCCTCACACCAGTACCCAGCCCTCACACCAGTACCCAGCCCTCACACCAGTACCCAGCCCTCACACCAGTACCCAGCCCTCACACCAGTACCCAGCCCTCACACCAGTACCCAGCCCTCACACCAGTACCCAGCACTCACACCAGTACCCAGCACTCACACCAGTACCCAGCACTCACACCAGTACCCAGCACTCACACCAGTACCCAGCACTCACACCAGTACCCACCACTCACACCAGTACCCACCACTCTCACAGCAGTACCCACCACTCACACCAGTACCCACCACTCACACCAGTACCCACCACTCACACCAGTACCCACCACTCACACCAGTACCCACCACTCTCACACCAGTACCCACCACTCACACCAGTACCCACCACTCTCACACCAGTACCCACCACTCACACCAGTACCCAGCAGTCTCACCAGTACCCACCACTCTCACCAGTACCCACCACTCTCACAGCAGTACCCACCACTCACACCAGTACCCACCACTCTCACAGCAGTACCCAGCACTCTCACCAGTACCCACCACTCACACCAGTACCCACCACTCACACCAGTACCCACCACTCACACCAGTACCCAGCTCTCACACCAGTACCCACCACACACACACCAGTACCCACCACTCTCACACCAGTACCCACACTCTCACACCAGTACCCACCACTCTCACCAGAGTACCCACCACTCACACCAGTACCCACCACTCACACCAGTACCCACCACTCACACCAGTACCCCACTCACACCAGTACCCACCACTCACACCAGTACCCACCACTCACACCAGTCACACCAGTACCCACTCACCTCTCACAGCAGTACCCACCACTCACACCAGTACCCACCACTCTCACAGCAGTACCCACCACTCACACCAGTACCCACCACTCACACCAGTACCCACCACTCTCACAGCAGTACCCACCACTCACACCAGTACCCACCACTCTCACAGCAGTACCCACCACTCACACCAGTACCCACCACTCACACCAGTACCCACCACTCACACCAGTACCCACCACTCACACCAGTACCCACCACTCACACCAGTACCCACCACTCTCACAGCAGTACCCACCACTCACACCAGTACCCACCACTCTCACAGCAGTACCCACCACTCACACCAGTACCCACCACTCTCACAGCAGTACCCACCACTCACACCAGTACCCACCACTCACACCAGTACCCACCACTCTCACAGCAGTATCCACCACTCACACCAGTACCCACCACTCACACCAGTACCCACCACTCTCACAGCAGTACCCACCACTCACACCAGTACCCACCACTCTCACAGCAGTAGTACCCACCACTCACACCAGTACCCACCACTCACACCAGTACCCACCACTCTCACAGTACCCACCACTCACACAGTAGTACCCACCACTCACACCAGTACCCACCACTCACACCAGTACCCACCACTCACACCAGTACCCACCACTCTCACAGCAGTACCCACCACTCACACCAGTACCCACCACTCACACCAGTACCCACCACTCTCACAGCAGTACCCACCACTCACACCAGTACTCTCACAGCCAGTACCCACCACTCTCACCAGTACCCACCACTCACACCAGTACCCACCACTCTCACACCAGTACCCACCACTCTCACAGCAGTACCCACCACTCACACCAGTACCCACCACTCTCACAGCAGTACCCACCACTCACACCAGTACCCACCACTCTCACAGCAGTACCCACCACTCACACCAGTACCCACCACTCACACCAGTACCCACCACTCTCACAGCAGTACCCACCACTCACACCAGTACCCACCACTCTCACAGCAGTACCCACCACTCACACTAGTACCCACCACTCTCACAGCAGTACCCACTACTCACACCAGTACCCACCACTCACACCAGTACCCACCACTCTCACAGCAGTACCCACCACTCACACCAGTACCCATCACTCTCACAGCAGTACCCACCACTCACACCAGTACCCACCACTCTCACAGCAGTACCCACCACTCACACCAGTACCCACCACTCTCACAGCAGTACCCACCACTCTCACAGCAGTACCCACCACTCACACCAGTACCCACCACTCTCACAGCAGTACCCAACACTCACACTAGTACCCTCCACTCTCACAGCAGTACCCACCACTCACACCAGTACCCACCACTCACATCAGTACCCACCACTCTCACCAGTACCCACCACTCTCACAGCAGTACCCACCACTCACACCAGTACCCACCACTCACATCAGTACCCACCACTCACACCAGTTCCCACCACTCTCACCAGTACCCACCACTCTCACAGCAGTACCCACCACTCACAGCATTACCCACCACTCACACCAGTACCCACCACTCACATCAGTACCCACCACTCTCACCAGTACCCACCACTCTCACAGCAGTACCCACCACTCACACCAGTACCCACCACTCACATCAGTACCCACCACTCACATCAGTACCCACCACTCTCACAGCAGTACCCACCACTCACATCAGTACCCACCACTCACACCAGTACCCACCACTCTCACAGCAGTACCCACCACTCTCACAGCAGTACCCATCACTCACACCAGTACCCACCACTCACATCAGTACCCAGCAGTCTCACCAGTACCCACCACTCACATCAGTACCCAGCAGTCTCACCAGTACCCACCACTCACATCAGTACCCATCACTCACACCAGTACCCACCACTCACATCAGTACCCAGCAGTCTCACCAGTACCCACCACTCACATCAGTACCCAGCACTCTCACCTGTACCCACCACTCTCACCAGTACCCACCACTCTCACTTGTACCCAGCACTCTCACCAGTACTAAGGACTCCACCAGTTCATAACAGTTACACTCTCAAATGTTTAGGGGTGTTGTTTGGTTGTTTTACAGTATGGTGCCTTGAATATCCCATTAACATTGTTTTATTTGCATTTGAATATACAAAACTTTCTACATTCTTGTACTGCCACTAGCACGTGTAGTGCTTCGGGCAGATCCTTAATCCTGATTATTCCCCCCGTGTACGACCCGCCAAATCATTTAACAACCAGGTACTAATTCACTACTGGGTGAGCAGAAGCTCCAATTTAAGATTGGCGCCCAGTCAATCTTCCCCGGCCGGGATAGGAATCTAGTCCAAACTGCTCACGAAGCGCCGTTCGAGTGCTTAGCACTGGGCCACGGGAACTACTCGTAGCGCAGATCGCAGAAAACACTCTTCCTCATCTCCTCCTCCCTCCCACCATTAATCCGCCCGTTAACAATCTCCCACTTTCAGCCCTAGACACGCACCTGACACGACTCCTCCATCCCAGCAGTCACGGCCCTGACACGATTCCTCCATCCCAGTAGAGACATGCACCTGACACGACTCCTTATCCCAGCAGAGACATGCACCTGACACGACTCCTTATCCCAGCAGAGACACGGCCCTGACACGACTCCTTATCCCAGCAAAGACACGGTCCTGACACGACTCCTCCATCCCAGCAGAGACGCGCACCTAACACGACTCCTCCATCCCAGCAGACACGGCTCCTGACACGACTCCTCCATCCCAGCAGAGACACGCACCTAACACGACTCCTCCATCCCAGCTGACACGGCCCTGACACGACTCCTCCATCCCAAGAGAGACATGGACCTCGTCTCCTCGCTCATTATACACACACCCTTTGTTCGGCTCCTCTCTCCCTGCTCACACACTCTCCCTTCCTCTTCTCTCTCCCTGCTCACACACGTCCTTCCCTTCTCCTTCTCTCTCCACCTTCTCCCAGCTTATCCATCTTTCTCCAGAATTCACCTCCAAGATTTTCCTCTTAAGCTTTTCGCCCCTTTCCATCCTCTCTCCAAATTACCTCCCCCGCTGTTTCTCTCTCTCACCTCTCCTTCCTTTTTCCCAATTCTCCACCTGTCTCACTCTCCTTCCCTCTTTTCATCATTTCCCCTTTCTCCTAACCCCTTTTCAAACATCTCCTTCTCCCTCCCTTCTACTTTCAGTCTGTCTGTGTCTGCCTCCGTCTATCTGAATCTGTGTTTTTTTTCAGTCTTCCTTGATTTCTCTGTCTCTTTTTCTCTGGTTGATTCGAAATCTCTGCGGGCTCTGTCTGTCTCTGTTAGTATCTCTGTCTCTTACTGCTTTTGTGCTTTTGCTGATTATCTCTCTTTCTCTCTAATACAAATAGCATAATTGTTTCTCAATGGCAAGCAGGTGATCTGATGGTAGGAGGAGCCTAACTGTGTGAAATTTTTTTTAAATTTATTAATTTCCCCATTAGCTTTAACAATGGGGCAGGGCTCGTGAAAACCTTTGAAATCGTGGAAGAATTATCTATTTTTTGCTGCTATGGGCAAAGTAGGATGGTTAGAAAATTAGTTTATTTTCCCAAAATTGGTGCATATTTTTTCATATTAAAAGAAAACAAACTGATATTTTAATTTTACTTTTTAAATATTTCGACAGACAAAGCTGGGTGGCAGGGTCGGAATCAGTCGTGGGGGTCAGTATGTGACCGTGGCATGCTCTTCTTTCTTGAATTATGTTGACCACCCCCACCCCCCCCAATCAACCTATGTCCGTCCCATACTCAAGACTATACACCTTGCAAAGTTGGTTAAAGCTAGTTGCAAGTGTAGGGCCTCCATCTTTGGACGGACAAACATACATCTCTCCTATAGATATAATAGATAATTTAATTTGTCATAGTCTTCCAGCAATTCTGAGTCCTTGCTGAAAAGTATTTTTTTTAATTATCTTAAAATATATTTAGTCATTAATTCTAACATTATCTTACTGATGTTTAATTGTCCCTTCAGGTTTGATGGAATCCATCTACTTCACGAACAAGACGGCTTTGGTTCGTTCATCACCATCTGTGAAGTTGTGTTTGTTCTCTTCATCTTGTACTTCACTGGGCGAGAATGCTATCTCCTCTGCAAGCAGGGATCAAAATACTTCAACAATTACTGGTCGTTTGCCGAGATTTCAATAATCTTGGCAAGTTACATTAGTATTATCATCTACATTCTCAGGTAATACGGAATCTCATCTGATATTATTTAATATCTCTTTATGAAATCAAATCTAAATCTAAATATTTTTCAGGTAAAAGTACATATATAGAAGATGAGTATCAAACATAATGTTGGATTTATAGATAGAGCTAATACATACAATATCTAAAGCCACTAATACACACAGCGTTAAGGGCGTTTTATGGTATTCTAGGAGTAACTTTTATCCTCACATGGCCTTGGTGTCTCGATGTGTCAAGTTTGGTAGTTCTTTCTCTCCTAAGGACTCAACCTAGTGAGTAATATACAGATCTCTACCAGACATGACGCCAACACCAGACTTCAACTATTCTGTCTACAGAATACTTTATCACAATTAGTTATTGTTAAGAACAATGGCCTAGGAATGTGTGTTTTGTTTTATGTGTTTACGAGATAAATTGAGACGTCAGTGTAATCAAACACAAAGGCAAGAACCTGAACTCTGAGGTGGCCGCTTTAGTATAAAACTGAGTGTTACGGTGTTACGGTTTCTGCTGTTTACATAAGAGCAAAAGTTAAGTTATCAGCAATGATGATTAATCTAGACAGTTTAGTACAGAGAACAGATACTAATGTTGATACATACAATTTCTAAGGCATCATAAATTATTGCCACCCAAACATAGATATAGCCAAAGGGAGTATACAGTGAACTAGAACATAATTTAGATTTGGTAAAGGGGCTTGAGCACAGGCTACTATCATACTTGTAGGAGATTTTAATTTTGTTTATGCTGTGCAAAATTAATAATTTTGCACAGCATACTATCATCCTCGTGTACAATATCTTTCTCTGGAATATTTCAAGTGTAGATCAAACAAACACATAAGTGGTCATGTTGGTTATAAATAGTAACTACATTGCATGTTTAATTTTTCTTCCTGCAGGTTGCGCTATTCTTATGTTATGTTCTCATTAGCCATAGTGTAGATATTCTTGCTCTTGTTTATCCTAGCAGATATCTATACAAATGACCTATGGGATACTGACTGTCTTTCCCATATGACAGAATATATAAGAACAAGAAAGAATGCAACTGACATGCTTCAAGATGCCATCAGTCAAGCCACTAGCAACATTTGTAATTGTTAATTCTTCATGTGCCAGGCCGAAAGCCTTAGCATGACTTATACAAAAAATACACTATCTTCCCTACAGATACTTGGCAGTAAACACTGCCCTTGAAGAGTTCAACAGAACTTATGGAAATGGCTACGTTAGGATGCAAAATGCTGCTAATCTCGATGAGATTTTCAGCTACTTGATCGCCTTCATTGTATTCGTTGGAACACTGAAATTCATCAAGCTACTGAGGTTTAACAAGACAATAGGTGAGATGTGTGTTCATTATATTGGTGGAACAGAATTCATGTCAGTTGTAGAAGTGAATTGGGGATTGGGGAGTGTGTATTTAGGGGAGGCATGCAGGGTGTGTGGGAAGAGATGGGGAGTGTGTGTTAGAAGAGATGGGGAGAGTGTGTTAGAAGAGATGGGGAGAGTGTGTTAGAAGAGATGGGGATGATGTGTTGGTGGAGATGGAGAGTGTGTGAAGAATATGGGGGAGCATGTGTGCTTGTAGACACAAGGAGGGTGTGTGTAAGGGGAGATGGGGAGGGTATATATGGGCGTAAAGGGAAGTGTGTGTGTGTGTGGGGGAGGGGGAAATATAGAGTATGTGTAAGGGAAAGATAGCAAGGATGTTTTAGTAGCTATGGATATATGTGAAGATGTTTACAGGGATAAAGATGATGAAAACCTGATATATATATATATATATATATATATATATATATATATATATATATATATATATATATATATATATATATATATATATATATATATATATATATATATATATATATATATATATTCAACTTGTGGATAGACTAAATGTTGCATCTTTTGTACAAATCAAGTTAAGTATAAACTAAATTTAAAAGTTATTCAATTTATAGAGATGATCTTTTTGAAATACGGCTCACAGACTTCATTCTAGGGATGGGGTTAGAGGCGAGTGACTTTGGATTGGGCGGGAGGAAGGAATGTAAAGTTTTACAGATTTCTTTAATAAAACTTTGTGTATCGTGAAATTTTCTGGGATAGGAAAGAAAAGATGTTCATCTATCTTCCTAATGGGAATATATATATATATATATATATATATATATATATATATATATATATATATATATATATATATATATATATATATATATATATATATATATATATATATATATAATGTCGTACCTAGTAGCCAGAACGCACTTCTCATCTTACTATGCAAGGCCCGATTTGCCTATTAAGCCAAGTTTTCATGAATTAATTGTTTTTCGACTACCTAACATACCTAACCTAACCTAACCTAACTTTTTCGGCTACCTAACCTAACCTAACCTATAATGATAGGTTAGGTTAGGTTAGGTAGGGTTGGTTAGGTTCGGTCATATATCTACGTTAATTTTACCCCCAATAAAATAAAATTGACCTCATACATAATGAAATGGGTAGCTTTATCATTTCATAAGAAAAAAATTAGAGAAAATATATTAATTCAGGAAAACTTGGCTTATTAGGCAAATCGGGCCTTGCATAGTAGGCTGAGAAGTGCGTTCTGGCTATTAGGTACGACATATATATATATATATATATATATATATATATATATATATATATATATATATATATATATATATATATATATATATATATATATATATATATATATATATATATATATATATATATATATATATATATATATATATATATATATATATATATATATATATATATTATTAAATATGACCGAAAAAGTAAGATTAATAATTCTAACACGAATTTTCTCAATCTTTCGTACATTTCTTTTCACTGTTGGAGGTAATTCAAAAATCAATTCTCCAAAATTCATTTTTATTTCTAGTCTGACGCGACACTTGAGCGCGCTTCGTAAAACTTATTACATTTTCAAAGACTTTACACATACACAACTGAATAGAACTTACATATCTCCGATTTGTTTATATCTACATTTGAGTGAGGTGGATGGGATGAGGTGGTATTTAATAGGGTATTAATTTCATCAACACAAGACAGAACACGAAACAATGGGTATTGAAATGGAAGTGATTGTAGAAAGCCTATTGGTCCATATTTCTTGATGCTTCTGTATTGGAGCGGAGTCTTGAGGTGAGTAGAATATAGTTGTGCATTAATTGACTGTTGATTGCTGGTGTTGACTTCTTAATGTGCAGTGCCTCGCAAACGTCAAGCCGTCTGCTATCGCTGTATCTATCAATGATTTCTGTGTTGTTTACTAGGATTTCTCTGGCGATGGTTTGGTTGTGGGAAGAGATTATATGTTCCTTAATGGAGCCCTGTTGCTTATGCATCGTTAAACGCCTAGAAAGAGATGTTGTTGTCTTGCCTATATACTGGGTTTTTTGGAGCTTACAGTCCCCAAGTGGGCATTTGAAGGCATAGACGACGTTGGTCTCTTTTAAAGCGTTCTGCTTTGTGTCTGGAGAGTTTCTCATGAGTAGGCTGGCCGTTTTTCTGGTTTTATAGTAAATCGTCAGTTGTATCCTCTGATTTTTGTCTGTAGGGATAACGTTTCTATTAACAATATCTTTCAGGACCCTTTCCTCCGTTTTATGAGCTGTGGAAAAGAAGTTCCTGTAAAATAGTCTAATAGGGGGTATAGGTGTTGTGTTAGTTGTCTCTTCAGAGGTTGCATGGCGTTTCACTTTCCTTCTTATGATGTCTTCCACGAAACCACTGGAGAAGCCGTTGTTGACTAGGACCTGCCTTACCCTACAGAGTTCTTCGTCGACTTGCTTCCATTCTGAGATGTGGCTGAGAGCACGGTCGACATATGCGTTAACAACACTCCTCTTGTACCTGTCTGGGCAGTCGCTGTTGGCATTTAGGCACATTCCTATGTTCGTTTCCTTAGTGTAGACTGCAGTGTGGAAACCTCCGCTCTTTTCCATAAAAAACTAACAACGTTGAAACTAACAACGTTATATGAAGGACCTATGACAATTCCACGACCAAGAGATGGCTTCCTGAACCTTCCAGGAATCACCCTCACTGAGGACCAAGTCACTCTCCTAAATCTGGGTATAAACTGTCACGTTATGTCCAGACCGAGTGAGATGGCCCGGAAAGTGGAGTTGGAGATTCTGTTGGACGACATATTCCACCTCGAAGCACAAAAGAAGGTCACCACCAAAGATACCTTACAAGCAGAACTTATTGCGGAAGGAGGAAAGAATCGAGGCAACTACAGAAGCACCATACTGTCCCCCGAGCTCAAAGCGGCAGCTAAGAGCCTTGGTGAGAACAAGGAGATAGTTGTCAGGAGAGGCGACTAGTCGCCAATATACGTCATTCTTAAAAAAGAAGAATATCTGGCGAAAATGAACCTCATACTCTCTGACCAAACTAAATTCCAAAGGGTAACGAAGGACACTACATCCGAACTGAAAACAAAGTTCAACAAATTGATCGAAACTGTGAACGCCAAGAAATCTGGACTCCACCTGCCAAAGATTATTGGGGAATATAAACCTGGATATGCGTATGGAAATGTCAAGACACACAAGCCTGGAAACCCACTTCGGCCAATCATCAGCCAGATACCCACACCCACGTACATATTGGCGAAACGACTCAACGGCTTGCTGACTCCTTACGTCCCTTGCGCCTTCAGCCTGAAATCTCCAAAGGAATTTGTTGACTTGCTGCGGAGAACACGGGCCACAGGGATAAGAGCCTCGTTGGACGTAGAATCTCTGTTTACCAACGTACCTGTGGATGAAACAATCGGGATGATAGCCGACAGAGTGTACCGTGATCCGGCCTGTACTCCTCTTGACATACCAGAAAACAGTCTAAAGAAACTACTCCAAGCTTGTACTAAAGAGGCACCCTTCTTGAGCCCGGATGGACACATGTATAAGCAAGTAGAAAGGGTCGCCATGGGTTCTCCCCTAGGTATCCTGTTTGCAAACTTCTACATGGGTACCATCGAGCAAAAAGTCTTAGTCGACATGAACTTGAAACCGGCCATATACTGCAGGTATGTTGATGACATTTTTACACAGGTACCTGATGTCAGACATCTGCAGGAGCTGAAGGAGGCATTTGAGCAGAATTCTGTGTTGCGTTTCACTTACGAGATGGAGAAGGATGGGAAGCTGCCCTTTCTAGATGTAACAGTCATGGAAAGGAGCGGAGTTTTCCACACTGCAGTCTACACTAAGGAAACAAACATAGGAATGTGCCTGAATGCCAACAGTGACTGCCCGGACAGGTACAAGAGGAGTGTTGTTAACGCTTATGTCGACCGTGCTCTCAGCCACAGCTCAGAATGGAAGCAAGTCGACGAAGAACTCTGTAGGGTAAGGCAGGTCCTAGTCAACAACGGCTTCTCCAATGGTTTCGTGGAAGACATCATAAGAAGGAAAGTGAAACGCCATGCAACCTCTGAAGAGACAACTAACACAACACCTATACCCCCTATTAGACTATTTTACAGGAACTTCTTTTCCACAGCCCATAAAACGGAGGAAAGGGTCCTGAAAGATATTGTCAGTAGAAACGTTATCCCTACAGACAAAAATCAGAAGATACAACTGACGATTTACTATAAAACCAGAAAAACGGCCAGCCTACTCATGAGAAACTCTCCAGACACAAAGCAGAACGCTTTAAAAGAGACCAACGTCGTCTATGCCTTCAAATGCCCTCTTGGGGACTGTAAGCCTCAAAAAAAACAGTATATAGGCAAGACAACAACATCTCTTTCCAGGCGTTTAACGATGCATAAGCAACAGGGCTCCATTAAGGAACATATAATCTCTTCCCACAAACAAACCATCACCAGAGAAATCTTAGCAAACAACACAGAAATCATCGATAGATACAGCGATAGCAGGCGGCTTGACGTCTGCGAGGCACTACACATCAAGAAGTCAACACCAGCAATCAACAGCCAATTAATGCACAACTATATTCTACCCACTTCAAGACTCCGCTCCAATATAGAAGCATCAAGAAATATGGACCAATAGGCTTTCTACAATTACTTCCATTCAATACCCATTGTTTCGTGTTCTGTCTTGTGTTTGAATTTAATACCCATTCAATACCCATTGTTTCGTGTTCTGTCTTGTGTTGGAATTTAATACCCATTGAATACCCATTGTTGAAAGTTCGTTTTTCACCTCATCCACCTCACCCAAATGTAGATATAAACCTCGAAGATGTGTAAGCTCTATTCAGTTTCAGTTGTGTGTTTGTAAACTAAAGTCTTTGAAAATGTAATAAGTTTTACGAAACGCGCTCAAGTGTCGCGTCAGACTAGAAATAAAAATGAATTTTGGAGAATTGATCTTTGAATTACCATCAACAGTGAAAAGAAACGTAAGAAAGATAGAGAAAATTCGTGTTAGAATTATTAATCTTACTTTTTCGGTCATATTTAATAATATATGTCTACAGGAAAGACTGCTACCAAAATATACTAATATATATATATATATATATATATATATATATATATATATATATATATATATATATATATATATATATATATATATATATATATATATATATATATATATATATATATATATATATATATATACCCATAGGATATACGCATAATATATAACATATATATATATATATATATATATATATATATATATATATATATATATGTATATATATATATATATATATATTTTTTTTTTTTTTTATTCCACTTAACTGTGTGTTCATTGCCACCAGGGCTCTTGTCGGCCACTATTCGACGGTGTTGGGACGACCTCAGTGTCTTCCTGATAGCATTCGTCCTGTTCTTCTTTGCCTTCGTCTCTGTGTTCTTCGTCCTGCTCAACCAACACCTTGTAGACTTCTACAACTTTATCAGCGCCGTCATGACCTGCTTCAGCATACTGCTGGGTAAGTGGTACGGTATGCACGGTAACTTTGTGGTACGGTATGCATCATATTTACTTTTGACACTACACATATGTGATATGTGTAGTGTCAAACAGCACGAGAACAATTGTCAGTGTCATTGATACAAAAAAAATTGATGTATAGACAGGTTTAAAGATTGAATGTTAGTTGTATTGTTGAAGAACGTTTATTGATTATAGAAAGATATTGGCTTTTACATATGGATTTACTACATGGGTACACACCATCTCTCCACACACCACCCTCCCCCGTCACCACACACCACCCTCCCGTCACCACACACCACCCTCCCCCGTCACCACACACCTCCCTCCCCCGTCACCACACACCACCCTCCCGTCACCACACACCACCCTCCCCCGTCACCACACACCACCCTCCCCCGTCACCACTCACCACCCTCCCCCGTCACCACACACCTCCCTCCCCCGTCACCACACACCACCCTCCCGTCACCACACACCACCCTCCCCCGTCACCACACACCACCCTCCCCCGTCATCACCACCACCCTCCCCAGTCACCACACACCTCCCTCCCCCGTCACCACACACCACCCTCCCCCGTCACCACACACCTCCCTCCCCCGTCACCACACACCTCCCTCCCCCGTCACCACACACCTCCCTCCCCCGTCACCACACACCTCCCTCCCCCGTCACCACACACCACCCTCCCCCGTCACCACACACCACACCTCCCGTCACCACACACCACCCTCCCCGTCACCACACACCACCCTCCCCCGTCACCACACACCACCCTCCCCCATCACCACTCACCACCCTCCCCCGTCACCACACACCACCCTCCCGTCACCACACACCACACTCCCCCATCACCACACACCACCCTCCCCCGTCACCACACACCACCCTCCCCCGTCACCACTCACCACCCTCCCCCATCACCACTCACCACCCTCCCCCGTCACCACACACCACACACTCCCGTCACCACTCACCACCCTCCCCCATCACCACTCACCACCCTCCCCCGTCACCACACACCACCCTCCCCCGTCACCACTCACCACCCTCCCCCGTCACCACACACCACCACCACCACCCTCCCCCGTCACCACACACACCACCCTCCCCGTCACCACACACCTCCCTCCCCCGTCACCACACACCTCCCTCCCCGTCACCACACACCACACACTCCCCCGTCACCACACACCACCCTCCCCCGTCACCACACCACACCCTCCCCTTCACCACACACCACCCTCCCCCGTCACCACACACCACCCTCCCCCGTCACCACTCACCTCCCTCCCCCATCACCACACACCACCCTCCCCCGTCACCACACACCACCCTCCCCCATCACCACACACCACCCTCCCCCATCACCACTCACCACCCTCCCCCGTCACCACACACCTCCCTCCCCCATCACCACTCACCACCCTCCCCCGTCACCACACACCTCCCTCCCCCATCACCACACACCACCCTCCCCCATCCACTCACCACCCTCCCCACTCACCACACACCTCCCTCCCCCGTCACCACACACCACCCTCCCCCGTCACCACACACCACCCTCCCCCGTCACCACACACCACACACTCCCGTCACCACACACCACCACCACCCTCCCTGTTTCCGAACACCCCCGTTGCAATTTAGTGGTTTCAGGTGGCAGCCGCTTTGTATTCAAAGTTTTGGATTTTACAGCAGTCTAGGTTGCGTGCCCAGTTGGATGCCCCTAATCTGCCTCACTTTGTGGTTTAGGGACTGGGATTTGGGAGTCTTGGTCAACTTGCCCTTGGTTCTGTCATGACCTCATCTTCCTTCCCTGTTGGACTGGTCTCATCCTTCGCCTTCCCCCTCTGCTTCCTGCTCTGATTTGTCTGTGGGCTTCGGTTTGGAGACAAGATTTAGCTTGGAATGTGGATTGGGCGGATCCGGGCTTAGACTATCCCTATGCGGGCGCAGAGGCAGTTGAGCTTCTTGGCCCCACCAAAGTTTCTGGGTCTTGCCAGCCGACCCCTTCCTTCAAAGCTTTTCCCTTGGACACCACCTTTCGATCTCAGGCAGTGGGCGTGGATGAGTGCTCTGCCCCGAGGCCCTCTCCTGCGGTTCCCAGTCTCTGGAATCGGTACTGAGCTCTTAGGGTTCCGTTTGAATCTTTTTAGTTATTATTGATTAGAGGGTGGTTGCCTTGTTGTATTCTCCGTTCTCTGGAGGGGGGGGGGGGGGAGAGGAGACATGTTCATGGCTATCACCCCACGTCTCGTGTATCGACATGCCGTTCTTGCTTGGTCTTTGGACTTGGCGTGGATCTCAATGACTGGCTGGTGTGGGCACCTAGCCAAATTGTTTGTTTGATAGCCAAGGTTCTGGTTCTTTCGCAGTTCGCTGGGTTTTTAGGTTCCTTGTGTACTGGTGGAACCTGCGACCTTGCTTCGGCTGCAGTACAGCCGTCTGCTGGTGTTGAAGGGGGAGCCAGGTGGCTCAGGGATTGTTCGAGCGATTGTGCAGGAACCTTTTCTTTATCTTTATGATTCCCATTGGGCTGGGTTTGGTTAAGTGGCTGTTCTGGTCCTTTGGGGGCAGCCCTACTGCCACTCGTGTTCACTGGGTATGGTCACTCGGGGGCCTGCACTGGATGCTGCATCACTAGCTTCTTCCGGTTTTCTGGGTTCGTTTCCTGGCACCTTCTCTGCTCCGTCGAAAATCGCTTGACGTTCCCGGATGTCTCGGCTGTCGGTTGGGGCTTTGTGACTGCCACTGACTGGTCTGGCCTGTGTTCTTGGTGCCTTCCATGTTGAGCGCTTAGTACGCTTCAGTTTTGCGACTGTGTGGCAAGCACTACAGGTTGTTTGGATTCTTCCGGTCTTGGTCATTTGGCTCCCTCAGTCGTGGGTACTGGCACAACTGGAATCTTATTAGGAGGAAAGTGATTCTTCTGGCTCTTTGATGACCCATCTAACTTTGGTTTTAGTTGCTGCTTGCTCCGTGTCCGAATCTAGGAGTTTTCTGCAGCTCCGTCTCTTGCAGAGGGCCAGGCAGGCGATGTATCTTGTTGGTTCAACCTTCTCTGATCAATGTGTTTAGAGTGCTCGATGAGAATTTATCACCATTTGTAAGGTGATCAGGTAGTTGGCATGATGGTGTCCCACCTGCTGTCGTCTTCCAGGCGGCAGTAAGAGGTTCTTGGCGGTCATTTTAACACTTTCTCTCCCTTCACCATTGCTATTCGGTTTCTAAGTGGGATGTTTGGTCCTTTCTCTCTTGTCTGTATCTCGATTAGCATCTTATGCCAAATACTGTGGCTTCTTATCATGAGGTATTGGCGAGCCACTGGATCAACGTTTAGGATTGATTCTACATCGGCACCGTTTCGCAAGCTTACTTGTGCTTTGTTTCTCCTCTGGCCTGCTCTTGCACCACCTGAGCCTGCATCGTCTCTGGACTGGGCTCTGTCTTTTCTCTTTTTTGTTCGTTTTATGGTTGCCTCTTCGGTCTGGGATTGTTTTTGAAGGCTTTATTTTGTTATTTCTTTGACCTCTGGTTGTCGGGTTGGTGAACTTCATGCTCTTCTCTGGCGCCTGGTGTGTGTGTGTGTGTGTGTGTGTGTGTGTGTGTGTGTGTGTGTGTGTGTGTGTGTGTGTGTGTGTGTGTGTGTGTGTGTGTGTTTTAATCACTACCGTTCTTACAACAGGCAAGTTCGACTTCAGCCAGATGACTCAGGCATCTCCCATGGTGCCAATCCTCTTCTTCGTCTTCGTTATGTTCATCACGTTTGTTCTCATGAACCTGTTAATAACAGTCATCATGCAGGCCTTCACGGAGGTGAGTTTCTCACACTAATGATTTGTCACATGTTAGGTCTTCTCCGTAAGGAGAGATGTTTGTATTTTATTTGTTTATTTATTGATATTTTATTTTTGGGGGGAATATTTGGTGGCCGAGCAATTTCTAAAGAACACCATTCGTATCTTAGCTTGGCTTCAGACTTTCAACACGTACATGGCAAAAGGCCCCAAAATATAGTTAACAAACATGTTTTAGAGGTAATTTCTTCTTATAAGGTTCTTGTGAAGGTAACTTTACCGAGGTTTGTGCATTCTCCCACCTGTCTGTGCATACAGCATAGCCCACACATTGTTTTACTTCAAGTTGGAAGTCTGCAACCTGCATTGATTGAAAAAAAATTGAGTTTTAAGGTTCTAGGGGTAGCCTAACCAGTTATCTTTCAAAAATGACAGAGGGCAGGTGTCGCACCTAGAGAAGATAAGGCAATGAGCAGTATGCCAGGATGTGAGTGAACACAATAGGGTGTAAGTTGCATAAATGAACCAATCAGCAGGTGATCCAAGGTCATGTGACGGACGAGAGGGTATAGCGAGGCGTCCCATTGGCTTGGGACACCCCAATGTTGCCTAAGACATGTTAGAGAAATGACGTATACGGATTAGCTCTGGAATTGGCAAGATATTCGTTAATGTGTGCAGAGTTCAGCCTTTTGTTGAGAGTTGAGGACATCATGATGACACAAGGAGCAGTAGAGCAAACCTATTCGTTAGTTTTGACTGCAACAACTCGTGCGATGGCTCTTGGTGCGACACTTTTAATCAGTGGAGATGCACTGTAAACAACCAGTGACTCTTATACAGTGAAGAACACCCAGTGCGAGAATGGAGTGTAAACAATGGACGACTTCTGCTCCACGAGAGTTAATAAATTAAACAGTAAGCAATGATGTGCTATTGTTTTCTCGGTGACATTTTCAGTATTAGTTGAGCTGAGAAGTGGCCAAGTGCAAAGCAGTGACAATTGCAGTGGTATTAGTAGACGTGGTAGTCTTCAGGGAAGAGCCACTTGGTGACAGTAACGGTATGTATGTGGTCTTCAAGGAAGATCAACTTGTTGCCAACTATGGTGTGTATATAGTAAACTTTTGGGAAGGGGTACTTGTTAACAAAAGCAGTGTGTATGTGGTAACCTTCAGGGAAGAGTCACTTGTTGACGAGTTGCATCTGCACAAACTTTTTGAACGTATGGTAAATGTCTGTCTTATGTGGTTCTTAGTACACTATCGCCATATCTCTCCTTCTCAATTTGGGTTTCGCAAATGTAGCAGCACAACTGATGTATTAGTGGATCTCAAGGTCTATATTCGTATTCCCTGTGCTGCAAAGACCTCCGTTGATGCTGTCTTTTTACCTGGAAAAGGCATATAACATCACCTGGAGATACCACATTCTGCCCCAACTCCGTTCTTTTGGCCTTAGAGACAATCTCCCTTTCTTCCTATGAAGCTTCCTCTCTAGTCGTTTATTTAGAGTGAGGCTTTGTATAGAGTCTGACTCTCTCTGACTTTTTTCGGCAATACGAAGGAGTACCCCAAGGTAGTGTTCTGAGCACTACTCTTTTCCTGGTTGCTTTCAGTGGTCTTCTTTCCTTCTTCTCCTCTAACATTTTCTCAGCTCTCTATTTTGACGATCTTACCCTCTGCAGTCTGGGTAATGATTCGCCTTTCCCCGAACGACAGCGTCAACTTGAGAGTGATGTTGTGTCGTTCTGGGCTACCAGTCATGGCTTCAAATTCTCTGCAAATACACTTGTACTATGACTTTTACTCAGCAGGTAAAAGTCATAACACAAAGTCATAGCACAAAGGACGAAATAAAAGACTTATACTTCGTTCTACCTTAGAGCAACAAAGATCCCTTTGTCGCTTTATGGAAGTCCATTTCTATATATGGATGCTGTTAAACTTGTGGGATTAAACTTTAACATTCGTTTGGCTTGGTCACCCAATATCTCTTACCTCCAAGTTGAATGCTATATGGCCCTTAACTTACTTAAGGTCTTGTCCAATACTTCCTGGAGAGCTGATAGGCATTCGCTCCTCTATTCCTTGTCTGAATTCGACTGTGGTTGCCCCGCTTACTCCTCTGCCTCTCCTTCGACTCTTTATTGTCGTGATGCTCTGCACTATATTGGGTAACGTGTCAACTCTGGTGATTTCCTTCGTCCCCTTCCATTAGCCTGAATGTTGAAACCGGCGTCCTGTCTTTACAGGATCGTTATGATCGTTCCGGTCTTCGCTACCTTGAACTTGCCATGCTCATCCACTCTCTCACTTAAGTCGTGCTTTGACCGTTACCACCTCCTGTAGGCCCTGTTCCCGTTCACCACCTTCCTTTTTCTATAAGGATGCCTCACTTGCAAGATTCCCTCTCTGTTCATGTTAGCAATATTTCTCCTCGCGTCACTTCATTCGTGCCCCCGTGGAGGGTCCCATTTCCAAAGTTTCGCAAGACTTTCACCTACACGGTAGAGGCTCCTACCCCTCCAACAGTTCGAAAACGTCTTTTTCCCCCTTGAACACTTTTCTTCATACTCCCACTCCATTGCCATCTTCAGAGTTGAGTTTAAGTCTGCCGACGGTGTAGGCTACTTCGTTATATTTCCTAACCAAACGTATGTACATACCATACCATAGCGTACAAACCATAGCAAACCTATGGGAGCCGGTCGGCCGAGCGGACAGCACGCTGGACTTGTGATCCTGTGGTCCTGGGTTCGATCCCAGGCGCCGGCGAGAAACATTGGGCAGAGTTTCTTTCACCCTATGCCCCTGTTACCTAGCAGTAAAATAGGTACCTGGGTGTTAGTCAGCTGTCACGGGCTGCTTCCTGGGGGTGGAGGCCTGGTCGAGGACCGGGCCGCGGGGACACTAAAAAAAAAGCCCCGAAATCATCTCAAGATAACCTCAAGATATGTATGCCGTCTGTTCCCGCGACTAGTATCCTCATGACTGAACTTTCTGCAATCTTGTATGTACTTCGTCAACTGCTTTCACGCTGTCAACATTCCGTTGTCATTATTGTTAACTCCAATAGTGCCCTCATGGCTCTGGAGACCTTTACTGCTAATACATCCTGTGGTAGTCGAAATTCAAAATTGGTTGCTTCCTATCTCTAGACGATTTAAGACGGTCGAGTTTTGCTGCGTTCCCAGGCATATTGGTATTACCTTAAACGACCATACTGCCGCTGCCGCTAAAGAGGCTATTTGCACCTGTCCTATTTCCTCAAAAGGTGTTCCTTATTCTGATTTTTACCCAATCATTCATTCCTCCATCCGAGACTACTGGCAGCGTCATTGATCTTTGATCACAGGTAACAACCGCCACACTTTTAAGGGTACCATATCCCCTTGGCCTTCCTTCTTCCACAGTAATAGGCTATGGGAAACGGCTTTGCCTAAGTTACTTATTGGCTACCCACGCTTATATTATGGGCACTTAAAGTATTGGAACTCCACCCTGCTCCTTATTGTTCAAACTGTATTGTCCCACTTACAGTCATGCACTTTCTTGTGAAATGTCCCGATTTTCGTGACGATCATATGTCTTGCTTTTCTATTGTTCCTCTGCGACCTTTGTTCCTTGATAGAATCCTTCGGAAATCCGATACCTTTGACATCGCTCGTTTTATGTGCTTTTGTTCTCTTATTGGCAATAAGTGATATTTAGCGCCTTTTCAATATCCTACGTCATTGATGGTGCTACATAGTCTTCCCGGCTTGGTACCTTGTTTTGGGAAGAGCCACTCGTTGACAGTAACGGTGTGTATGCGTATATATAGTTATATATATGCGTATATATATATTGCGGTGTATAGTTACTTATTTTTTTGGCAATGTTGGGGCTTCGCTCTCGTTTTTAAATCATGCAGTAGTCTATTTTAAATCGCCTATCTTTCTGTGTACTTCTCTGGTTCTTCTCTGGATAGAGATGATAAACTTCTGTTTGGTAGTGATGGGAAGTCTTCTGGCTGGTCGGCGGAAGCTGAGGTGTTGGAAGCGATGGCGGAGACACCGACGATGGTAGGGAGGCTGAACTCTTTAAGTCCACAATTTTCTTGATTTCGCCCTGTCGGCATGGACAGCGATAAGAGATGGCCATGTGGTCACCATTGCAGGCAATGAGCGGTTGGTTGTAGCCTTACATTTGGTGTAGTGGTGGTTGTCCGTACAGATGCTGCACTTGAGGACTCGTTCCTTGCAATCCTTGGTAGAATGAGTGTATTGGTAGCATTGTAGACACTGTCGTTGGTCGTAGAAGCATTCCTTCTTCACTCGGTAGTGTGGTATCTTGGTGCCAAGGCAGTAGAGTCCTTGTGTGGTGACTTGGGTAACTGCAGCTTGTGTAGTGATGGTGAGCTTGTAGATGTATTGCTTGCCGTCGGCACCGCCGAGGCGCTCCCCAGAAAATAGTCATGCTCTGGTTGTCGTCCTCTACGCTGAAGAAGATGTCGTCTGGTAGCTTTTTGGAGATCCAGTGGCTGATCTTAGTGATAAAAACCATTCTTGCGGCAAGGTATTGGCGTGGGTAGTGGGCCTTGAGGTGTGCTACGTGCATTCTGCCATTGTAATGCTGAAGTTTTTCGAGGTCCCTCTCGCTCTCGAAGTATATTACATAGTCTGTTCCTTCCTGGCCGCTGTCGATGGGCGTGACACCTGCGATATCTTTGGAAATCCTCAGAAGGTCGTTCTTGTCGAATGTTTGGTCATCTAGTGGGGTAAGTCAGACCTTGCAGCGTTTGTGACGCATTGTTGGAGTTTCTGGTACAAAGACAGAGCCTAAGCCGTTCAGCTGGCACCCCTTCAACAGTATGCAGTGCCGATGGAAGAACTCTTTCTGTCTGGTTGGTGCTCTGATCGCCGATTCACATTACTGTAGAAGACCTTCCGTCTCTTCCCGATATAAAACTCCAGGATGGGAGTGGGGCTGACCTTCTAGAGTAAAGCGTCTTGCGAGTGTGTGTATGCTGTGCCTTGTCTGTGATCATCAACAAACTACACTCGTAGCATAAAAACTGCACAGTGGAATAAACTACACTTGTGGCAGAACAACTGCATCATGGACATGATCACTGACTGTCACCACCCTGGAGTTTCTGCGATGTTTTGACGTTCAACTTCAACATCATCAAGAACCCATGTATAATGCATAACAATGTTGGCCATCATCAAGTGTTATTGGGGCCCATAGTCCTCTCTAATAAAACTACTTTTCAAGAGCTCACAGTACGGAATAAATATTCCTTAAACATTATTAGAAGAGCGCTGACCTTTAGCAACACTGAACACGAACACAAGATACCACTCACTATTTACTACAACAGTAAGAAGACCGCTAATTTGTTTGTGAAGAACTCTTAGAACACAAAACAAAACGCTTAGAAAGAGACGAATGTTGTCTATATGCCTTTACATGTCCAATTTGAAACTTTAGGCCCCAATACTCTCAAAAAAACTCCATTTTAGATAACATATCTTTATACGACCGTGCCATCAGCACTTGTGGGAACCGACCTGTGATTTTTATATTTATTTAATTTATATCAATTTATATAGAATTCTTATTTATGTTAATTTACATAATTCGATAGCAATTTGTATGATGTTAGCGGACGGTATTTCTGCAATAATCTCACAAATCGACTCTTACACATTAGGGGGGGATTTATATTAAATTTATATATATACAGCCAATCAAACTACATTATTAAACTACATATATTAGTAATAAAATTATGAGGCCTTATTTTATTGGTCTCATTGGCGTAGTCCACCAGGTATGAACATGAATGATGACACCAAATAATCCTCGTGGGAGGTTAGCATCCAACACCCCTGTACTGGTATACCAAGCAACTGTCCTGCTTCCTCTTTTATTATTCCTGTCGAAGGGCACTAGCTGTAAAGCCGGAATCCTAATATATGACAGCTATATCAGATGAAACATTTGTCATGTTATTAGATAAAGACCAAGGATTAATTACTTGGGTTTAGTGGCTTGTCTAGTATCCTAACCGGTTTGCCCCATATCCACCTAACATTAACTGCCCAGAAATGTGGTAATAAACGAGTTTCGCTAAGACACTTCCCTTGTTTGGATGTTGCTGCGTGTTGATATTGGAAGAAGCGCTAATTTGTTCTCCATAACACATCATCCAAAGGAAGAATTATAAGAGCTGAACTCGCTCCTGCCACTATCTGCTTGAACAATGGCTGACCTCCCTCACCACTGACGCCTTGGCTCTCCTTGTCCAGATGTCAGTAAGTGATAGAAAGGTCACATTTACTCTATTTTGATACTGATAATTAACTTAATTCAAATGAGATGTTTTCATGATGTCAAAAGTCCAAAGACTACTGTATTAACAATAATTCCCAACAGAATAGCTGGTGAATTTATAGCACATTGTAGCGATGATATCTCGTTTTCTATTGACGGAAAATTCCACTGTGCTACATTTTCTATGGGTTAACTTGTGTATACAACAGCAGCAATATTATCTGCTTATTGCATTTAATATTAGTAAATGCTGTCGGGTTTTCCGACAGCATTGATCCTGAGCAATAGCACAACAAATCAGCAGATAAAACTACTATTTTGCCTAGTGCAAGACACCTGTGCATGCTGTGTCAAGCATAAAGGGGGGTCCGAGCCTACATGCTTAAAATTTACCTTTCATGCGGTGCAGTTGCATTGAAAGTGCGAGCAGTACTTATCCAACTCAAGTAATTATGGACAAGTATAGCAACTTATGAGTGCTATATAAATCAAAGAAGGCTCAATATATCCCATATGCAACCATTACCCTGATATCGATGGAGGGAAGTGTGTACAGTTACTTCATGCATCTCTGATAATACTTGACCTTACCATGACATTCATTATATATATAGACACATCTGTGTGAGATCTAACAGCAGTGACTTCATTTTTCCTTCTTTCAAATTTGAACCTATACACATGTTTATGAGTATATTTAATATTCACATGTACCACTGTATTCTTAGTAAATATACTGTATTATATCGTATTAATTTAACTGTAAGCTTCATATTATCAATGCAGGTGAAAGAAGACCTTCACAATCAACCCAGAGATCATGAGATAGTGGATTATGTGTGGGAGAGCTTCAAGACCTTCCTTAGAAGGGGCGACTCATCTGATAGGGCCCCAAGACTAATCTCCACCACCACTGTCAACATTGACCTCAACACCCACGACAGCGTCACCGTCCAAGAGTTTCCCGATAAAATCAACAAGTAAGGTTTCTTATGCAGTTATCAATAAGCCGTGTGTAGCAATTCAAGTAGAATACACTAACATAAAACTGTCTTAATGTTATATAAATTATTTTATTAAAGGTGTGTGTGCATGCCTATGTTTGTTCTTTTATGCTTGCATAATGGAGCTGTTAGCTCTTGACCCAGTCTTTTTAACTATTCGTTTTCTATTTCACTGACTCCCAAATCCATTTTTCTCTATCATATTTACTACTTAAATTTCTCTCTGAACACATACACACGCACATCCCCAGGATGCAGCCCATAGCAGCTATCTAACTCCCAGGTATCTGTTTACCGCTAGGTGAAAAGGGGGAAAAGGTGAAAGAACCTATGGTCATTTGTTTCTGCCTCGGCCGGGAATCGAAGCCGGCTCCCTGGCGATGTCCGACAAAAAAATAACGTTTTAATTTTGTGTAAAAGAATCTTTTACGAAGGTAAAATACATAATATTTGCTGAGTCTAACCTGCATCTCTCACAGACAAGTTCCAGATATTTGGTAGAAAATAAAGCTTTGTCGTTTATGGAACGTTAATTCTTCAGTTTCAGCGCCTCTGATGCCTTGATCTCTTCTCAGCTTCCTCTTCCTCCTTTCGTTTTCCTGGCATACAGGGCTGTGTAGTGCAGCTGCTACACTCTCGACTCACAATCGCGGATCTTGGATTATCTTCCCTGACGGGACAAAAAGGGTTGGGAACGCTTAGTTTCACCTGATGTATTGTTCACCTAGGAGTAAACAGGTACCTAGGAATTAGGCAGGAGTTGTGGGTAGTATCCTGGGAAGGGTCCATAATTCAACCAAAGAGCGACCTTGATACAAACCTAAAGTGTGTGTATAATACATATATATATATATATATATATATATATATATATATATATATATATATATATATATATATATATATATATATATATATATATATATTATTAAATATGACCGAAAAAGTAAGATTAATAATTCTAACACGAATTTTCTCAATCTTTCGTACATTTCGCTTCACTGTTGGAGGTAAATCAAAAATCAATTCTCCAAAATTCATTTTTATTTCTAGTCTGACGCGACACGAGCGCGTTTCGTAAAACTTATTACATTTTCAAAGACTTTAGTTCGCAAATACACAACTGAATAGAACTTACGCATCTCCGATTTTATATCTACATTTGAGTGAGGTGGAAGGGGTGATGTGGCATTAACACAAGACAGAACAAAATGTGGTATTAATAGGGTATTAATTTCATCAACACAAGACAGAACAAGAGTATTAACAGGGTATTAATTTCATCAACACAAGACAGAACACGAAACAATGGATATTGAATAGAAGTGTTTGTAGAAAGCCTATTGGTCCATATTTCTTGATGCTTCTATATTGGAGCGGAGTCTTGAGGTGGGTAGAATATAGTTGTGCAATAATTGGCTGTTGATTGCTGGTGTTGACTTCTTGATGTGTAGTGCCTCGCAAACGTCAAGCCGCCTGCTATCGCTGTATCTATCGATGATTTCTGTGTTGTTCACTAGGATTTCTCTGGCGATGGTTTGGTTGTGGGAAGAGATTATATGTTCCTTAATGGAGCCCTGTTGCTTATGCATCGTTAAACGCCTAGAAAGAGATGTTGTTGTCTTGCCTATATACTGGGTTTTTTGGAGCTTACAGTCCCCAAGAGGGCATTTGAAGGCATAGACGACGTTAGTCTCTTTTAAAGCGTTCTGTTTTGTGTCTGGAGAGTTTCTCATGAGTATGCTGGCCGTTTTTCTGGTTTTATAGTAAATCGTCAGTTGTATCCTCTGATTTTTGTCTGTAGGGATAACGTTTCTATTAACAATATCTTTCAGGACCCTTTCCTCCGTTTTATGAGCTGTGGAAAAGAAGTTCCTGTAAAATAGTCTAATAGGGGGTATAGGTGTTGTGTTAGTTGTCTCTTCAGAGGTTGCATGGCTTTTCACTTTCCTTCTTATGATGTCTTCGACGAAACCATTGGAGAAGCCGTTATTGACTAGGACCTGCCTTACCCTACAGAGTTCTTCGTCGACTTGCTTCCATTCTGAGCTATGGCTGAGAGCACGGTCGACATATGCGTTAACAACACTCCTCTTGTACCTGTCTGGGCAGTCACTGTTGGCATTTAGGCACATTCCTATGTTTGTTTCCTTAGTGTAGACTGCAGTGTGGAAACATGTGCCCGGATGGGCACATGTATAAGCAAGTAGATGGGGTCGCCATGGGTTCTCCCCTACGTGTCCTGTTTGCAAACTTCTACATGGGTACCATCGAGCAAAAAGTCTTAGTCGACATGAACTTGAAACCGGCCATATACTGCAGGTATGTTGACGACATTTTTACACAGGTACCTGATGTCAGACATCTGCAGGAGCTGAAGGAGGCATTTGAGCAGAGTTCCGTGTTGCGTTTCACTTACGAGATGGAAAAGGATGGGAAGCTGCCCTTTCTAGATGTAACAGTCATGGAAAAGGGCGGAGGTTTCCACACTGCAGTCTACACTAAGGAAACAAACATAGGAATGTGCCTAAATGCCAACAGCGACTGCCCAGACAGGTACAAGAGGAGTGTTGTTAACGCATATGTCGACCGTGCTCTCAGCCATAGCTCAGAATGGAAGCAAGTCGACGAAGAACTCTGTAGGGTAAGGCAGGTCCTAGTCAATAACGGCTTCTCCAATGGTTTCGTCGAAGACATCATAAGAAGGAAAGTGAAAAGCCATGCAACCTCTGAAGAGACAACTAACACAACACCTATACCCCCTATTAGACTATTTTACAGGAACTTCTTTTCCACAGCTCATAAAACGGAGGAAAGGGTCCTGAAAGATATTGTTAATAGAAACGTTATCCCTACAGACAAAAATCAGAGGATACAACTGACGATTACTATAAAACCAGAAAAACGGCCAGCCTACTCATGAGAAACTCTCCAGACACAAAACAGAACGCTTTAAAAGAGACTAACGTCGTCTATGCCTTCAAATGCCCTCTTGGGGACTGTAAGCTCCAAAAAACCCAGTATATAGGCAAGACAACAACATCTCTTTCTAGGCGTTTAACGATGCATAAGCAACAGGGCTCCATTAAGGAACATATAATTTCTTCCCACAACCAAACCATCGCCAGAGAAATCCTAGTAAACAACACAGAAATCATCGATAGATACAGCGATAGCAGGCGGCTTGACGTTTGCGAGGCACTACACATCAAGAAGTCAACACCAGCAATCAACAGCCAATTATTGCACAACTATATTCTACCCACCTCAAGACTCCGCTCCAATATAGAAGCATCAAGAAATATGGACCAATAGGCTTTCTACAAACACTTCTATTCAATATCCATTGTTTCGTGTTCTGTCTTGTGTTGATGAAATTAATACCCTATTAATACTCTTGTTCCGTCTTGTGTTGATGAAATTAATACCCTATTAATACCACATTTTGTTCTGTCTTGTGTTAATGCCACATCACCCCTTCCACCTCACTCAAATGTAGATATAAAATCGGAGATGCGTAAGTTCTATTCAGTTGTGTATTTGTGAACTAAAGTCTTTGAAAATGTAATAAGTTTTACGAAACGCGCTCGTGTCGCGTCAGACTAGAAATAAAACTGAATTTTGGAGAATTGATTTTTGATTTACCTCCAACAGTGAAGCGAAATGCACGAAAGATTGAGAAAATTCGTGTTAGAATTATTAATCTTACTTTTTCGGTCATATTTAATAATATATGTCTACAGGAAAGACTGCTACCAAAATATACTAATATATATATATAAGATTAATCCAGTGTAATTGGCCTGTTATGTTGGACATTGTCTTCTGTGTTGGCATCGATATGTTCTTGTCTTGTCCTTACTATCATGGTGGGTAGAGTAAATAGTTCCGTGATTTGGGTGTTCATGGTAGGTCGCTCTATTCTTATGTGAATTGCCTCAAGAATTTGTAATCTTCTTGAATCTTGGGTTTTGTCTATTATGCAAGTATTCTTGTTCAACATTTCTCTTGTTACAAGAGAAATGACAACAGAGAAATGTTGAACAAGAATACTTGCATAATAGACAAAACCCAAGATTCAAGAAGATTACAAATTCTTGAGGCAATTCACATAAGAATAGAGCAACCTACCATGAACACCCAAATCACGGAACTATTTACTCTACCCACCATGAGAGTAAGGACAAGACAAGAACATATCGATGCCAACACAGAAGACAATGTCCAACATAACAGGCCAATTACATTGGATTAATCTTTGTGTTTAGATAGGAGATGCCTCGTATGGGCCAATAAGCCTTCTGCAGCCCCTATGTTTATCCCTTATGTATCCCCCCATATATATATATATATATATATAAGTGTGTGTATAATACATATATATATATATATATATGTATATATATATATATATATATATAAATAAATATATATATATATATATATATATATATATATATATATATATATATATATATATATATATATATATATATATATATATATATATATATATGCGAACAAGCCTGAATGGTCCCCAGGACAATATGCAACTGAAAACTCACACCCCAGAAGTGACTCGAACCCATACTCCCAGGAGCCACGCAACTGGTATGTACAAGACGCCTTAATCCACTTGACCATCACGACCGGACAAAATGAGGTGATAGCCGAGGCTTTTTGAACCACCCCACCGCCGGCACGCGGATAGTAATCTTGGGCATAGCATTTTACCAAATCACCTCATTCTTTGGGGCACACGTGAGGAACACAAATGCGAACAAGCCTGAATGGTCCCCAGGACAATATGCAACTGAAAACTCACACCCCAGAAGTGACTCGAACCCATACTCCCAGGAGCCACGCAACTGGTATGTACATGACGCCTTAATCCACTTGACCATCACGACCGGACAAAATGAGGTGATAGCCGAGGCTATTTGAACCACCCCACCGCCGGCACTCGGATAGTAATCTTGGGCATAGCATTTTACCAAATCACCTCATTCTTTGGGGCACACGTGAGGAACACAAATGCGAACAAGCCTGAATGGTCCCCAGGACAATATGCAACTGAAAACTCACACCCCAGAAGTGACTCGAACCCATACTCCCAGGAGCCACGCAACTGGTATGTACAAGACGCCTTAATCCACTTGACCATCACGACCGGACAAAATGAGGTGATAGCCGAGGCTATTTGAACCACCCCACCGCCGGCACTCGGATAGTAATCTTGGGCATAGCATTTTACCAAGTCACCTCATTCTTTGGGGCACACGTGAGGAACACAAATGCAAACAAGCCTGAATGGTCCCCAGGACAATATGCAACTGAAAACTCACACCCCAGAAGTGACTTGAACCCATACTCCCAGGAGCAACGCAACTGGTATGTACAAGACGCCTTAATCCACTTGACCATCACGACCGGTGGTTCGGTGGGGTGGTTCAAATAGCCTCGGCTATCACCTCATTTTGTCCGGTCGTGATGGTCAAGTGGATTAAGGCGTCTTGTACATACCAGTTGCGTTGCTCCTGGGAGTATGGGTTCGAGTCACTTCTGGGGTGTGAGTTTTCAGTTGCATATTGTCCTGGGGACCATTCAGGCTTCTTCACATTTGTGTTCCTCACGTGTGCCCCAAAGAATGATATACACAGTGACGGCCGTGCAGATGGCGCTGGTGACTTCTTTAACTATTACTCGGCTCTTTAACTGCTTGTTTCGGATGGCGTGAGTTCCCAGCGACCCAGGTGCGAGGTGGGGTGACGGGCAGTGGTGTATAGGGGGAGACTGGAGGTATTGTCTAGACGTCTGCAAGTAGTTGTTGTTGTTCTTGGGGCTGCAGTACTTGCATATATAGACGTGATATGGGTAGAATAGGTGATGATGGAGCAGGCCGAATGTCTTCCTAGAGATTTTACCGTGACAATATATATAATGTAATATAATATATACACACACACATATATTAGGGGGCCTGATAGCTGAGTGGATAGCACTCTGTACTCATAATCCTAGGGTCCGGGTTCAATCACCGGTGATGGCAGAAACAAAATGGGCAGAGTTTATTTCACCCTGATGCCCTTGTTACCTAGCAGTAAATAGGTACCTGGGAGTTAGACAGTTGTTACGGAGCTGCTTCCTGTGTGTGAAAATTTTTTTTTTTAGTAGTTAGTAACAGTTGATTGATTGACAGTTGAGAGGCGACGAAAGAGCAGAGCTCACCCCCCCTCCTTAAGCACAACTTGGTGAATACAACTAGGTGAATACTTTAGGTTTGTATTATTGTATTTTTATTTGTGTGTATTTTATTTGGCCCATCAGTTTTCAGTGACATCAGGGAACCCTTGTTCATCCATTTGTGTCTTTCTTCACAGGTTCCTGGACTACGTAAATGCCACGTACTTTGAAGGTGGCCTTGACGTGACCAGCAAAGACGCCTTCAAGTCCTCCATGTACAAGAGTTATGCTCCTCGTCAAGGAAGCGGGACTCGTGGCATAAGGTACACCAGGAGCACCAGGGACACCAGGAGCACCAGGGACACCAGGGACACTGACACACCAGGGACACTGAGACACCAGGGGCACCAGGGACACCAGGAGCACCAGAGACACCAGGGACACCAGGGACACTGTGACACCAGGGACAACAGGGGCACCAGGGACACCAGGAGCACCAGGGACACCAGGGGCACCAGGAGCACCAGGGACACCAGGGACACTGAGACACTAGGGACACCAGGGACACCAGGGACACTAAGACACTAGGGACACCAGGGACACCGGGACACCAGGGATACCGGAGACACTGGGACACCAGGGACACTGAGACACCAGGGACACCAGGGACACTGAGACACCAGGGACACCAGGGACACCAGGGACACTGGGACACCAGGGACACCAGGGACACTGGGACACCTGGGACACCGGGACACCAGGGACACCGGAGACACTGGGACACCAGGGACACTGAGACACCAGGGACACCAGGGACACCAGAGACACCAGGGACACCAGGGACACCAGGGACACTGAGACACCAGGGACACCAGAGACACCAGGGACACTGAGACACCAAGGACACTGAGACACCAGGGATACTGAGACACCAGGGACACTGAGACACCAGGGACACTGAGACACCAGGGACACTGGGACACCAGGGACACTGGGACACCTGGAACACCAGAGACACTGGGACACCAGGGACACCAGGGACACTGGACCACCAGACACTGAGGACACTGGGACACCAGGGACACCAGGGACACTGGGACACCAGGGACACTGGGACACCAGGGACATCAGGGACACTGGGACACCAGGGACACCAGGGATACTGGGACAGCAGGGACACCAGGGACACTGGGACACCAGGGACACTGGGACACCAGGGACACCAGGGACACTGGGACACCAGAGACACTGGGACACCAGGGACACTGGGGATACTGGGACACCAGGGACACTGGGGATACTGGGACACCAGGGACACTGGGACACCAGGGACAACAGGGACACTGGGACACCAGGGACACTGGAACACTGGGACACCAGGGACACTGGGGATACTGGGACACCAGGGACACCAGGGACACTGGGGATACTGGGACACCAGGGACACCAGGGACACTGGGACACCAGGGACACTGGGGATACTGGGACACCAGGGACACCAGGGACAACAGGGACACTGGGACACCAGGGACACTAGGGACACTGGGACACCAGGGACACTGGAACACTGGGACACCAGGGACACCGGGGATACTGGGACACCAGGGACACCAGGGACACCGGGGACACTGGGACACCAGGGACTCTGGACAATGTTGATAATCACCAAGACTTTATGAAACTAATTCATGCTTGTTGGTCACTTGGTGGACAGCAATATGCAAGTATTATTCATTAAGTGATGGGTTAATATATGGCTTAGAATGTTGGAAGGATATTCAGATATATTTTCCAGATGTGCAATGGAACATCAGAAGCCATGCAAACCATGATCAGGGTGGATACTTATAGGACTCCATACTTCTCGGCATTCAACGGTATAGAGTCCTGCTATTAGAGATTATTGTCAACAAGTCAGCGACACACCTCACTCATAGCGGTTACATTGTTCTGATTCCAATACTCACATCCTTAAATCTCTCAGTATCGCGAACGTGAGACCTGAGCTAAACACCCGCGAGTCCACAGCTCGGGTGGTTACCCAATAATTTCGGTCTTTACGAAGCATGTTAATGGTTTTTTGGGTTTTGCTTTCTATTTTGTATATATTTTATTTTTTTACGTTGATTTCTTGTATTTAGGTTTTTATCATCATGATAATTAATTTAAGTTTTGAATTATTTTTAGATGTGATCCTTTCCCCGGGAATTACTGTTTCCAATAAGATTGAAATTTCCAGTTCCTACTGGAAATACACCAGGGACATGTATATGATGTACACAAAATATGTATATAGTGTACATAGTTTTGTGTACATCATATAAAAAATATCACATATATATGTGTGATGCACTTTTTGCTTATATACACATCTTGAGAGTTGAAGGAGTGTACATTTAAGGTGAGGTGAAGGGGCAGCCAAATATAGAGTGAGGGGAGATAGGGCCAATTAACATACTGAAAGGAAAGGGGTAGGGCCAATCAAGTAGAGTAGGGCCAATCAAGTAGGGTAAGACCAGTTAATTAGGATAAGGCCAAATCAAGTAGGGTAAGGCCAATCAAGTAGGGTAAGGCCAATCAAGTACGGTAAGGGCAATCAAGTATGATAAGGCCAATCAGGTAGGGATGCATAAGGCCAATCAAATTGGGTAAGGCCAATCAAGAAGGGTAAGGGAAGTCAGGTAGTAAGGCCAATCAAGTAGGGTAAAGCCAATCAAGTAGGGGTCAATCAAGTAGGGTATGACCAATCATAAGGCCAATCAAATTGGGTAAGGCCAATCAAGAAGGGTAAGGTCAATCAAATAGGGTAAGGCCAATCAAGTAGAGTAAGGCCAATTAAATTGGGTAAGGCCAATCAAGTAGGGTAAGACCAATCATGTAGGGTAAGGCCAATCAAGTAGGGTAAAGCCAATCAGGAAGATTATGGCCAATCAAGTAGGGTAAGACCAATCAAGTAGGGCAAGGTTAATCAAGCATTGGGTAAAACTGCAGTGGGTGGGAAGACCTCGGTAGAGACGTCATTGCCTGGTGTTGTTTGGTGAAGTCTGGATCAGAGCGTTTGCGAAGAAACGAAGTGAATATATTGTCTATGTTTAAAGTGGGTTTTTTTTCTTATAATTGTAGCTTTCCAGGATTTGCAATCTTCTTTGGTCAGTGGTAAATTCCAGGACTGTTTGATTATTTACTAGATACCTATCAACTGATACCCCTAAAAAAATGTCTTGAAATCATTAGGTAAAAATATGGTCTTCTAAAGTTGTGAGGCTCTCATGACCACAGTCAAACTTAAATTTTAACAGCCTTTGTTTACTAATGTTTAACAGCCTTGTTTTACTCCGTTTGTTTGATGTTTGTTTTACTTTGTTTAATAGCCTTTTCGGGCAAAAATCAAAGAGGAACATCCTCTCTACTTTATTAGACGCAATGAAGTCGAACTCAGACAAAAGAGACTTTCGGCAGTCAACTGTCACACTATGCAAACCAAGACGCTTCTCAATGTGGTTTGGTGACAATCTCACTCGATGAATGAGGGAAAGGTAGACCTCAGGGGATGTCTTCTCCCTCGCATCTTGGTTCTCCACCTCCGGCTGTACCTCCACTTTCGTATTCTCGTTAGAGTGAGGACTTAAGCTATTATTTAGTGAATAAGAAATTTACTTGTGTGGCGTCCAGCAGGAACACCATACCAGTAAATTTACGTTTTGAATACACAGAGAGACACAAACCTCCTTTTCTGCTAATCATTAAAGAAACCATCAAAATTTTGTCCTGCGATTTTAAAATCTAGTTCATTGATGATGGTACCTTGGCTACTTCTCAATTTGCCTCCTGGAGGATATCATAATAATTTAGGAACAAGGACCCGACCCAGGCCTCACCCTAAACTCTTTTAAGTGTGAAATAAAATCCAACAACCAACACATATATATTACCTCGTGTGTAAAAGATGTTTTACTCAGTATTAACCTAACCATACTCGGAAAAAGGACGACTCTAGGAGCTTTTCTTTGTCCATCTGCCATCGACGAGGTCCTTGGTAAGACAGCCCATCCTCCTGTTAAGGCAGTACTTTTAGTAACGATGAGGACCATCGTACATATATTGACGTGAAAGGCAATTAGAAAGTAGAAATCGGTATTACTGAATTTGGACAAACTGAAAAAGGTTTTCTCCTGATTAAATTTAATTTTTTTTAAATTTTGCCCCAAGGGGCGAGTTTATTGGGCAGCGCCACTCATCTTGGGAGTGAACATACCGCCATAGCAGAATGTACAACACTCCCCAATAAACCTGTCCTCTTAAAAAGAACGTCGCTTTTGGCCGTTTGCCCGTATGGCCGAATTTGGACGTAATTTGAAATTAATTAAAAAAAAAATGAAAAAAATTTGGGATTTTTTTTCAACAACAGTAAGTTAAGGGTCCTCTGATAGGTTAGGTGGGCAGGAAATTCTCATAAAGTTTCAAAACGTTATGAAAAACGCTAATTTAAAGTGTCCTCTTATAACCTCTGCGCGTAAGCCGGACGACTCAAATAGAAAACGGAACAGAACGTCACTTTTGTGAGTCGATTTCATTTCAAATTACGTCCAAATTTGGCCATATCACGCATACCAGCCAAAAGTGACGTTATTTTTAAGAGGACGGGTTGGAAGGAGACCATATTGAATACTTCATACCCAAGACTCAACTACAAATTAGAGGTATTATCAGGCAACATCACCGTGACAAGGTAACTGAGGAAAAGAGGATAGAAGCACAAACCAGTGAATCTGTACGATGGTACAACATGGTTGCAGTTGGCAATCCCAATCATTATGGCCGAAGAGGAGGACGACGACGGAGAGAATCAGTAATAGCGCGAATCCGTCTTGGATACAAATATCCATGGAGATTTGGAATGGAAACAACAGTTGATCAGCGAAGTTGCAAAATCTGTGGTGAGAGTGATGGACACCGCCTTGACCACTATCTACGTGAATGTGAACACCTGAGAGACATTAGGAATATGTGTAGAATAATAAACCCCACATTGTTTGAGTTAGGAAAACACTATGTGTCAAATATTGATACTGTTCTTAAAAGATTTCCCCATTTTGCACCCGCAAGATAATGTAAGCTTTTAAGGGTTGATAAATGTTAATCTTCTTGTTTGAGGAGCTGTTCACTTGAGACAGTTAAGCAAGTCCCAGCTGTGTCTGGGTACAAGATGACAGGATGATGAAAACCCAGCGGGTTTTCTTCCTATTGGGGCAACCCATCCTCTTAAAAATAACATCACTTTTGGCTGGTATGCGCGATATGGCCAAATTTGGACGTAATTTGA